AGGATCACAGTTTCATTTAGTGACTTGTTTAATAAATATATATATATTTTTAATGAGCTTTGGTGGCATAGTGCTTAAGGCATTTGACCGCTAATCAGAAGGCTGGCGGTTCAAACCCACCAGCCACTCCTCAGAAGGAAGGTTGGGCAATCTGCTTCCATAGTGATACTGCCTTGGAAACCCAAGAAGGGGTCATTATGACTTGGGACCAATTCCGCGGCAGTGAGTTCTTTTTTTTTTTTTGCCTTATCAGATGAACCAGCGACAATAATTCTTATATCTTACACACGGATATGACAACCACTCATGAAGGATGACTATACTGAAATTCTTTTCATGAGAAGTTATATAATCAGACTTACTGGCAGAGCTGATAAACCCTTCACATGAGCTAACCCATCCTTGGTGCTGTTGCTGTTCTAGTACTGCAGCTTAAAAATCAACATTTGAGGAGTCCAAGTAGGCCTACATTATTCAGCAGTTGTAGGATACATATGCTTAATCATTTACTTGGAAATGAATTGTGCTGGCTTTCTTTATTTATAAGGATATATCATAAGTGTTTCAAAATTTACCTGGACATAAGTGACATGCTATTTCTGTCACAAACATGCACAACACCATCCATCCAATTACTCCAGTTGGGAACCGTCTCTTTCTCCATCTCCTGCCACATCTAATCATCACTACATCCTAGAGTTTCTTAAGTACCTTTTTCAATCCATCTGCTTCTTTCCAGGTGCAGTGCCACACCCATGATTTGCATCCAGTGATCTCTTACCTGGATTCCTACACTAGTCTCTTTCTTTAAATAAATATTTTGCTGCAGCCATCTTTTAATAAGGAGCTCTGGTAGTGTAGTGCCTAAGGCACTTGACTGCTAACCAGAAGGCTGGCAGTTCAAACTCACTAGCCGCTCCTCGAAAGGAAGATGGGGCAATCTACTTCCGTAGTGATACTGCCTCAGAAACCCAAGGAGGAGTCGCTATGAGTTGGGTCTGACTCGACGGCACATAACAACAACAACATCATAATCGTAAGTACTTGTATCTCAGGCATGATGAAGATTGCCTCTGATAAGGCGTCCAGAATACTCTAGGCTACTCATGTATTTTCTCTTTTTAAGACACACCTGATACTACTAATAAACTTCTACAGCAGGATGTTATTCATTTTTTTAAAATACATTTTATTTAAATATAATTTATGTGCAATGAAATACACAAAACTAAAGTGACATGAATCAACACTTTTTTTTTTTTTTGGCAGTGTTCCCTCCCCTGATAACCAACAAAGGAAGTTTCCTTCCATATACAAACCTTTCCTTGACTTTTTACAATAATGAACTAATACTCTATTTGTCCTTCGTGATTGATTTATTTCACTCAGCATAATGTCCTCCACATTCATCCATGTTATGCAGTGTTTTGCAGATTCTACATTATTTTTTAGTGTTGCACAGTATTCCATTATGTGTATGTACCACAGTTTGGTTATCCATTCTTCTACTGATGGGTACCTAGGTGGTTTCCATTTTTTGGTATTGTAAATAGTGCTGTGATGAACGTGGGTGTGCATATATCTGTTCTTGTCCTGACTCTCACTTCTTTAGGATATATACCTAGTAATGGGATTGCTAGGTCAAAAGGTATTTCTAAATCCAGCTTTTTTTTTTTTAAAGGTTTTACACAGTAATTTATAAATTACGTACTGACATATCTATATATCATAATAATTAAGAAATCCAAGTAAAGAGGGATAAAAATGTTTTAATTATTGAAATACATTGGTAAACTGAGTAATTTACATTACAGTACTAAGTAGAGACACAATAGTCATTATCAAATTAATAATTTTCCAAATATCCCACTAACCATCAATCTCAAGTCCTTGAAAATAGTTTAGAATTAACATGATGAGATGCCATGATTACCCAAAGGTAGAGTGGGAAATTCAATTGCTATGAAGTATTTGTAGTTACATAAGCCTTGAAGTAAAGAAAATAGGAATTTAATCACAATGTGCATATGGTATGCAAATTTAAGTAATCTGTTTTTCAACATTGCAATGAAATACATTGTTCCTAATAAAGGAAATTCATTTCAAGAAAACCAAATAGTAAAAAAAGGGGAAAAGATAACAATAAGAATCAAACGAAAAATTTTATAGCTAAAAATTAATGTGAAGTAGAAATAGTGAAAGATAACAAATATATTACTTTATGTAGTTCATTTATAAGCCTTATTATTCTAAGTTATCAATAGAATATGGATTTTATTATATAAAAATTATCAAAAAAGTATCAGTGAAAAGATATGATCATCATAAACTGTGTTGAATGGGAAGGGTGAAAATTCTGCCAGAGCCCAGCCTGGTTGGCTGGGCAATTACAGTCTCCATGACAGTTTGTTAACTTGTCTTTCACGGGTCACCCACAGAAAGTTCCATGAATGAGTATACTGTCTAACTAATTCCCCTCTTTTAGACAAAAGTCAGCATGTACCCATGGTTTTAACTCAACACTGTTGTTGTTGTTATGTGCCGTCGAGTCAGACCCGACTCATAGCGACCCCTCCCTTCGGTTTCTGAGGCAGTATCACTAAGGAAGTAGATTGCCCCATCTTCCTTCCGAGGAGGGGTGCAACTGTTAAGAATTTACTTGGAAATGTCTGTGCACTAATGTCCTGCAGAGCTAAATTCCTCCTGAATCTTGATTTGCAAGCTCTTGATTATTGAGTCATGGTATTTTTGGTTTTTTGCTTATACATTTTCTTCTAATTTTTTTGCACAGTCTTTACTTGATTGGACACCACATTGACAGCTTCAGATGGAAGGCCAACGTAGACTCCTCCATAGTTTCTCCTCTTGTCATCTTCTGTTATTGATTCTTCTGTAACATCTTTAAGCTGCTTCTATAGGGCCTCGGCCCATGCCAGTGCTGGTGGCAGTGGAGTTCCCGCAAACCATCGCGCTGCTGGCACGGCAAACCTCGCCGGTGGCTGGGCAAACAGCACTCACAAACAAGCTGCAGATCCTGGGGGGCGGAGACCGAGACCGAGGGCGGGTGCGCCCATAGCCGCAGGCTGGCTGGGGGCGCTCAGAGGCAGGGGCAGAACCGGCAGCCTCCTCCCACCGCCACCGCCCAGGAGTGCCCCCCTGAGGTGCGGCGGGCCGCTAGCCAACCTGGGTGGACACCACCAGGCACCCCTTGCTCTGGCCTTGCTCCTCTAATTCCAGCTTTTTAAGGAATCGCCATACTGCTTTCCACAGTGATTGTATCCACCAGCAATGTATGAGAGTCCTAATCTCTCCACATCCTGGCCAACATTTGTTACTTTCTGTTTTGTTGGACTTTGCCATTGTTGTTGTTGTTGTTGTTATGTGCCGTCGAGTCGGCCCCGACTCATAGCGACCCCTCCTTGGGTTTCCGAGGCAGTATCACTACGGAAGTAGGATTGCCCAACCTTCCTTCCAAGGAGTGGCTGGTGGGTTTGAACCGCTAGCCGTCTGGTTAGCAGGCAAGTGTCTTAGCCACTATGCTACCAGAACTCCCATTAGTGCTGGGTTAAGATGGTATCTCATCCTTGTTTTGATTTTTGTCTCTCTGATGGCTAATGATCATGAGCATTTCCATTGTTGGTATTCTGTCCAAAGGATCCCCTTTAGTGTTTCTTATAAAGTTAATCTGGTTATTAAAAATTCCCTGAATTTTGTGTATTTGTTGCATTTGTTGGCTGCCTGAATATCCTCCTTAGTGAAGTGTCTATTCATGTCTTCTATTTTTTAACTGGATTGTTAATGTTTTCATTTTTGAGGTGTTGGGCATTTTCTATAAATTTTAGAGATAAGACTCTTGTCAGATATGTTGTTGCTGAATATTTCTTCCCAATCTGCAGGTTCTCTTTTTTACTCTTTTGGAGAAGTCTTTGGAAGCACATAAAATATAATTTTTAGAAGGTCCCATTTATCTAGTTTATCTTCTGCTGTTTTTGCATTTTGGGTTTTGCTTGATAGTTTATTCATGCCATAAATTAGGGCCCTGAATTTGCCCCTATTTTTTCCTGGAAGAACTTCATACTTTCAGGTTTCACATTTAAGTCTTTGATCCACCTGGAGTTAGTTTTTGTGTATGGTGTGAGGTACGGATCTTGTTTAATTTTTCTGCAAATGGTTTTCCAGTTTTTCTAGCACTATTTGTTAAAGAGACCATCTCTTCTCCATGTAATGGATTTCAGCCCTTTGTCAAAAATCAGCTGACCATACATAGGTCGATGATCTATTTCTGGGCTCTCAGTTCTGTTCCACTGGTCTATATGTCTGTCATAGTACCAGTACCAGGCTGTTCTGACTACTGTGGCTGTATTGAGATCCCAGAGTGTGAGACTTCCTACATTGTTCTTCTTCAATAGTGCTTTGCTTATTCGAGGTCTCTTTCCTTTCCATTTAAAATTAGTGATTGGTTTTTTCATATACTTAAAGAATGCTGATGGGATCTGGATTGGGATTGCATTGAATGCATAGATTGCTTTGGGTAGTATTCACAATGTTCAATCTTCCTAAAGATGTTATTCATTTTTATTAGCTTACCCCCCCTGAGATATTAACCACTTGTTGCCCCCATATAGCAGGAAGTAGCCTAAGAAGGAGAATGCCACACCATTTCTCATGATTATGAAACCTCAGAAGAGGCGGGTGGGGACTGTGGAAGGCCTAAAATGCCCCTTACTTTATCAAACTAGCAGCCATGATTAAAACAGACATTAATCATAATGTTTAACTTGCTATTTTTCCTCTCTTTGTCTTCCTTTTATGTAAACAGAATAGCTGACCTCTCCATGGGCACTGATTTCTTTAGATTTTTTTTTTTGCTTATACATTCTTTTCTGAGTATGATCTTATCCCACAGCTGGCTTCTGCTGAGAACTGCGATTTATGGGACTAGACGACCCTGAGAAGAGAAACATCGAGTGTGCAGCAACCAAGATAAAGAGGAACCAAGACAATCCTGGCAGTCCATGAGATCTTCAACCCCCTTCTCATCTTCCTATGTAATCATGTTTACCCCTTTGCCTGGGGAGACAGACTTTTTAATGAAGTGATTCTCTCTGTCTTGGGTATTAGCACTCAATACATCTTTTGGTTTTCCACTTCAACCTACTGTGGTGATTGGCTCTACTCATGACAGGTGCTAAGAACTTCACTGTTCCTGCATCAAGGTCATATTTCCAGTGGCACAGGCAACTGGAGAGCAAGGAGGGAGCCAGAGAAGGAGAATGAAACAATTTACTACTAGTAAACACTAGTCATTTGGGTTGAAGGACCATGTGAGGGGAAAGGCCTGTGGGGTACTGATTGGAGAAGCTAGACTCAGGGTGGCCTCCCACTTGATTTGAGTCTGGGAAAGAGCTAGATAAGTGGCTGTGTATGGCCAGAAGGGTGCCAGATGCGTGGCAGTAAATTGTTACAGAGATGTACAGTCTCTGCTCTAGCAAAACACCTTCCTGGAGTCTAGGGGTGAAGCCTCTTCCCACCCCCAATAACCCAGTGGTTAGGGAAGCCCCCCTGGCTAGCCCCACCTCCCCAGACTCTCAGCTGTCTCCTCAGCAGCCCAGCCTCTAACCATAATGAACCCCAAACAGACAAAGCTAGGGTCTGTGGCTTGCCCTGCCTATGCATGTATCAGTGACTGATCTTTCACTGAACATGAGGTGTGCCCCTGCACCAAGCTCCTTCTACCTCTGCAGGCACATGCTTCAGTGGATCAGCAGGATTACACCATAATTACCTGTTCCCAGGGCTGCCAGCTGACCATAACTACAAAAACCACCCTCTTTTATTTTTTATTCTCTACTTTTCTACTTCTTTCTCTTTTTCCTTTCCTTTTGTCACTTTTTATTAATTTTCCCCTTTTTTATTTTTATCAGCCTTTCCTTCCACCTGCCCCTCTTTTTTCTATTTTTTATTTTCCCTTCTTTTTTTTCCTGTCCCATTCAATGGAAGGAGGACATTACCTCTCTACTAGTCAGCCATACTTACTGCAACTACCACTTCATCCAACAGGCAAGCACCAGCACCTGCTCCTGCACCACTGAATTAACGACAGATGGTGGACAACCCTTGCTCATCCCACCCAAAGCTGCTTGTCATGACAGACATCTGCATCCACATCCCCACCCGTTATTCCACCCACCTGGAGACAGCTGGGGAGCACCTCAGTGCTACCAAGCTAACAACCAAAGAAGCACCCATCCAGATATATCAAATTAAGAAAAAGGTAAAACCAGGGTGAAACAAAGCAACACATAATCAACAAATAAAAACAATATGAAAATAGTTTGGAGACAAAAGACAACTTAACTTCAAACACAGGAAAAGGACAAGATAGCAGAAGCAAGTGACCAAAATAAAGAACTAGGAAACCTCCCTGAGGAAGAACAGGTAATAGAACTACCTAAAAAGGAACTCAAAAAATATACTCATGACCTTCTAAGTATGCAAGGAAACCATAAACAATAACAAGGAGAAGACAGACAATATCTTTGAAGAATTCAGGAAAAAAATACAAAGTAAAATGACAAAAAGACAATTAGAAATCATACAAAAACAGCAATAAGAAATCCAGGAGATTAACACTAAAATTACAGCAATAGATAACACGTCAGAAGGACAAAATTGTAGATCAAATTGTCTAAAGAACAGATTTGCCAGCTAGAAGACAAATTCCTTCACACCACCTTATATGAGAAAAATCAGAAAAAAGTATGAAGTAAACCTAAGAGTTATATGGGATGATATCAAGAGAAATAACCTATGTGTAACGGGAATTTCAGAACAGTTGTTGTTGTTGTTGTTATGTGCCGTCGAGTCGGCCCCGACTCATAGCGACCCCTCCTTGGGTTTCCGAGGCAGTATCACTACGGAAGTAGGATTGCCCAACCTTCCTTCCGAGGAGTGGCTGGTGGGTTTGAACCGCCAGCCGTCTGGTTAGCAGGCAAGTGTCTTAGCCACTATGCTACCAGAACAGTAGGAGGGAAAAAAAAAAGAAAAGAAAATTGTTGAAGATGTGCTGGCAGAAAATTTCCCCAATATCATGAAAGACTAAAAGATATCTATCCAAAAAGTTCAGTGAACCTCACATGGGGCAGAACCCAAGAGAAAGTCACCAAGACGTATCATAATCAAACTTTCCAAAATCAAAGACAAAGAAAGAGTCTGACAGCAGCCTGGGAAAAAGAAATGTTACCTACAAAGGGCAACCAATAAGGCTAAACTGATTTCTGACCAGAAACCATGCAGGAAAGAAGGCAATGGGATGACATATATAAAACCTTGAAATAAAAAACTGCCAACTGAGAATTATTTATCTGGCAAAACTGTCCCTCACAAAATTCAGGGAATTTTTAATAACCAGATTAACTTTATAAGAAACACTAAAGGGGATCCTTTGGACAGAATACCAACAATGGAAGACAGCACATAAGATTAAGATACATGACAACATCACTCAAAAACCAACCCAGAGAAAGAATTCTCAAAACTAAAACATGCTCACAAATCTGAAAATAGAGAACTAGAGGTGCCAATGTGTAAACAATAACAATTACAAAGCAAAAAGAGGGAATAAATGATATAATTACAGAACTTTCAAATGGAGAGGAAGTCAGAACATTATCAATATAGAACAGACTATTTCAAACATAAACAAACAAAAAAAACACCAAACTCACTGCCGTCCAGTTGGATGTGAGTCATAGTGACCCCTCCTTGGGTTTCCGAGGTGGTATCATGACAGAAGTAGAATGCCCAACCTTCCTTTCTTCTGAGTGGCTGGTGGGTTTGAACTGCCAGCCTTCTGGTTAGAAGTCAAATGCCTTAGGCATTACGCCAACAGAGGAACACAAAAAGTAACTACAGGGTAACCACAAAGAAAAATAATAAGCCTTCTAAGCTGTATCAGAAAGAATAAAATCACAAGGACATAGTAAACACAAAATCAGTAACAATGAATGAAATTAAAGAAAAAATCTGATAACAAACTGAACTCAGTACAGAAAAAATATCCAGAACAAAGAAACTATCAATACCACAATGAAAAACAAAAGAATGACAGCACCGAATTCATACCTAATATTAATTAAGATGAATGTGAATGAATTAAATGAAACAGAAAAGAGAAAAAACAGAAAAAAGAAACAAGAATAGAAGTTGGTTCTTTGAAAAGATTAACAAAATTAACATACCACTGGCAAATTTAACTAAGGAAAAGAAAGAGAAGATGTAAATAAATAATAAATGAAATAGTGACATTAAAACTGAACAAACTGAAATAAAAAGGATAATAACAGTACTATAAATAACTATACTCAAACAAATTTGAAAACCTAGAAGAAATGGACAGATTCTAGAAACACAAGACCTACCTAAACTAACACAGAATGAGGTAGAGAATTCAAACAGGCCCATAACAAAAGAAGAAATTGAACAGGTCATAAAAAAAGCCCAACAAAAGAATTCTCACTGCAGAATTCTATCACGCACTCAGAGAGTAGCTGATACCAATCCTACTCAAACTATCACAGGACATAGGAAAGGATGGAATACTCCCAAATTCCTTTTGTAAAGAAAGCATGCATAACCCCTCTGGTAGCATAGTGGCTAAGACATTTGCCTGCTACCAGACGGCTGGCGGTTCAAACCCACCAGCCACTCCTCAGAAGGAAGGTTGGGCAATCCTACTTCCGTAGTGATACTGCCTCGGAAATCCAAGGAGGGGTCGCTATGAGTCGTGTTTGACTCGACGGCACATAACAACAACAACAACATGCATAACCCCAATACCAAGACCAGGCAAAGAAACCACTGGAAAGAAAAATTAAAGACAAATATTCCACATGAACATAGATGCAAAAATCTTCAACAAAATCCTAACCAATAGAATCCAACACTATATCAAAAAAATATAATACATCATAGGCCTGTGGAATTCATACCAAGTATGCAAGGATGGTTCAACAATAGAAAAACTATCAATGTAATCCCTCACATAAATAAAACAAAGAAAAGAACCACATGATGATATCAATTGATGCAGAAAGACAGTGAAAGAAATTGAAGACTCAAGGAAGCATTAAGTCCAAAGGACTAATGGCCTACATGAACTAGCCTCCTCTAGCCTGAGACCAGAAGAACTAGATGTTGCCCAGTGACCATGACTAACTAGTGTTCTGATCAGAGATACAACAAAAAATTCTGGTTAGAATGGGAAAAAAAGGTCAAACAAAATTTAAATTCATAAGAAAGGTCAGATTTACTAGACTGATAAAAGACTGGAGGAACTCCAAGACTACTTCCCTAAGATACCCTTGTAACCTGGAATAAAACTACTTTTGGAGATCGCCTTTCAGTCAAATAACAGATTGGCCTATAAAATAAACAATAATACCCGTGAGGAATGTGCTCCTTAGAACACTCAACTATGAGATGAAACAGGTAACATTTGCCCAAAAGCAAAGAGAAGGAAAGAAGGGGCAGAGGGACAGTAATGGGAAAGGAAAGGTAAAAACAGGGAGAATGCTGACACACTGTGGGGATTGCAACCAATATCCCAGAACAATTTGTGTATGAATTGCTGTAAGGGAAACTAATTTGCTATTAAGCCTTCACCTAAAACACAATAAAGTGTTCAAAAATAAAAAAAGTCCCATGACCTTTACATGCTAAAATTAAGCTATGACCTATCTGCAATAGTAAATGTTCTTTAATACGTTTTTTCAAATTTGTACTACTCACTCTCTCATTTTGTTTTCTCTGAGCAACAGCATCTATTTGCAGAGAACTGGCTGGGTCTAGTTTATACCTAGGAATGAGATGTCTGGAATACACATTTTCTCATAAAGAAAGCTGATGACATTGGCATCATTTGTGACATGAATGTTATTATAAAAAACCTACTTCACCAGGATACTCTGAATATTGCCAAATAGTATGTAATACTGTATTAAGGTATACAGCACAACTGCCATCTTAGGTAAATAAAAATTAAAGCCTACTAAAAATAAACATAAGAATTAAGAACATGTTATCTATTTTCCAACACAGCCCCTATTACCACAATATGCCAGACTCTTTATCTACTCAGTGATTAGGGTTACTGACATCCAGCATTTACTTAAAACTACACAAACTGAAAAGCAAAAAGCTGCTCTAAAAGATAACCTTAAAATTGGTTCATAGACCACAGTGTGTCAGGAAGAAGGATAGAGAAAATCAATCACTGGCAGTTACCTTTGTCACTGGAATAGGGTGCGTGAACATTATTGCTGGGAACAGACACATTTTGGTGGTGTGGCTGGTTCACAGTTTCTAAAAATGACACCAGATTTTCATGATGTGAAAGTTCTTCTGCAACAGGGAAGGAAACGATGTTCCAATTTAACTGAGTGTCTCCTTCTGTGAGAGCCCGGAAGAGAGAAGGGATTGGCTCGTGGAGCTCCTCCACAGTGCTTTTTGAAGTTGGAGGTGTGTCACTATAATTTCGAGGATTACACATACCTGGGGAAAGGGGAGGGGAAAGAAAATAAAAGTTCATTTTTCTCACAGCTTGTAACATATTAGTTGCTAAAGTGGTAGCTACTGCATTGCAATCAGAGCACCAACATATTAAAATTACATGATTTCTAACATTATACTTAGATATTTTCCTACCATTTTTTTGCTGAGAGGACCTAGAAGCAATGAGATCTCATCCTAGTGGCAAAGAGTCTACTAGGCACACAGATATGTGTAAATGCCACATACACTAAAAGGTACCAGTGTTTCTTGAAGAGGCAGCTGATTCCAGGGTTGAGGCAGGTGAAATACAAGATGAACCTGGAATACCATTAGGTACCAGAAAGGAAGAAAGTGCTCAGTGAATGATGAGATATGTCAGAAAGACAAGAAGAAAGTGAAGAGGCTTCCACTGGCCAAACTGACAATCTGGGCATCAGAATAATAATAACAGTAGATTCTACCACTTGTCTATCAATTTTTTATACTGTGGTTGCTGTTATACTGGAAGCTATGCCACTGGTATTTCAAATACCAACAAGATCACCTGTGGTAGACAGGTTACATCAGAGCTTTCAGACTAAGACTAGGAAGAAGAAAGAGGCAGGGCTGAAAATGAGAAGAAACAGCTGCAAACATCCATTAATAATCAGATCATGGAATGTTCAAAGTATGTACCTAGGAAAACTGAAAGTGTCAAAAATGAAATGGAACATGTAAAGTTGTGTATCTTAGGCAGAAATGGACTGGTACTGGCCATTTCAGATCAGACAATCATGTAATCTACCATTCCAGGAATGACAAATTGAAGAATTCATTGTCAAAAAGAACATTTCACGATCACTTTTATCAGTGATAGGATAACATCCATACACCTATAAGAAACACTTGTTCACACTACTCTCATTCAAACTGAAGTACCGACCACTAAAACCAAAGATGAAGAAACTGAAGGTTTTCACCAACTTCTGCAGTCTGAATTGACCAAACATGCAATTAAGATGCATTGATAATTACTGGTGATTGGACTGTTCAAGTTGCAAACAAAGCAGCAGCAGTGGTAGTTGAAAAATACGGCCTCAGTGATAGAAATGATGCAGGAGATTGCGTGACAGAATTTTGTAAGACCAATGACTTACTCATTACAAATACTTTTTTTTTTTTTTTGGCACAATCTAAGTGGAACGATATACGTGGATTCATCCGATGTAATACACAGGAATCAAACTGACCACAACTTTGGGGACAGAGATGGAAAACCTCAAAATCATCAGTCACAATAAGGCCAGGGGCCAACTATGCAACAGACCACCAACTACTCATATGTAGTTTAAATTTAAGCTGAAAAAAGTTAAAACAATTCCACGTAAGCCAAAATACAACCTTGAGTATATCCCACCTGAAATTAGAGACCATCTCAAGAACATATTTCAGGCATTGAACACCAGTGATCAAAGACCAGATGAGCTGGGAGACGGCATCAAGAACATCATATATGAAGAAAGCAAAAGGTCATTAAAAAGACAGGAAATGAAGAAAAGATTAAAATGAGTAAGACAAGAGACTCTGAAACATGCTCTTGAATGGAAAATAGCTAAAGCAAATGGAAGAAATATGAAGTAAAAGACCTGAAGAGAAGATTTCAAAAGGCAGCTGAAGAAGACAAAGAAGGACTGTTCTGGTTACCTAGTGCCACTCTGACAGAAATATACCACAGATGGGATGGCCTTAACAAACCTGAGTTTATTCTCTTTCAGTTTGGAGGCTTTAAGTCCAAGTTCAAAGTGCCAGGCTCTAGGGGCTGGGTGAAAGCCCCTCAACCTTGGGTCTAGCTCTGCCTCCTGCTCCCAGCCCACTGGAGCTAGAGGTGTTTCTTCACTCAGACAGCTGCTGGCTGCTGAAGATGAGAAGCCCAAGTTTGACAAGTAAAAAGGCACAGTCTCAATGTTACCAAACCACATGGCAGGCTGCTGAACAATGACACAGCTACATGCTGGGTCCAAGTGTGCCATAAGCTAGAGACCATTCCCCAAGGCTTCTGCTTATATACAGGAAACAAACCACATCCCTAAGGCAGCTACTCAGCTGCTCACAGTAGATTACACTATGGAGTTGATTCCAGTCTCATCATGGGGAATACTACACCTAGCTGCCCAGCCACTCAACCAGGCCCAGCCAAGTTGACACACAAACTGAACTACCACAAGGACTACCAGTAAGATGATGGAATACTCATACAAGCTCCACAGACCCTCTTCAACAACAACAAAAAAGAGAAACCAATTGACAGAGGCACAGAAGATAATCCTGGAGCCCTGAACACCGAAAGCAAGTATACAGAAGTGGGTAAGGCACCAACTAGTGGAAGAACTTGAATGAAAACAATGAGTATGGAGATGGATGGAGCTGCAGACAGTCAGATGCTTTGATGGCACCAACAGCCTGAATATTACCAAGTAGTGCTGGGACCTGAGAATTGACCTAAAGATCAGCCCTGGTGGCCAAAGACTACAGGGACGACTGTTTTGGTGGCTGATAACTAAGATGGGAAACAGCAAAGAGGGAAACAACCTGAACTATCTGGAGGGCACAACCATTTTGACTGGTTATAAGTGGTGGCCATTTTGGATATTTAAAGTTACCAAGGATGCAGCCATTTTGAATGTTTACAAGCAGTGGCCATTTTGGGTATTTAAAGTGACAGTATTCTCATTTGGATTCCAGGGACCTATGAATAGGCTCCACTTGTCAAGGACGAGAGGGAAATAAGGGAGGCTGACAATGGGAAAGGAGACAGGTGGTGAGTGTATAAGTGCTGCCAACTAGCGAACAGAGGAGCACAATATGCTGCTTACATAGATGACATCCAAACAAAACAAAATGAAAATCGTGGGCAAATAACTCCAACATAAAATCACGAATTAAATATAAACACAAAAATGTAACAATGTCTCAGAGACAACAGAGCATCCATAGTCCATACAAAGAAACAAGATAAAGCAGGAGAAACAAGGGACCAGCACACAGATCCAGAACATATACCCGAGAAACAAACAGCATTGAAACTGTCTGATAAGGAATTCAAAAGAATTATATTTAGGTACCTTCAACGGACTGAGAGACAATTCAAGGAAACACTGACAAAATTGAGAAAGACAAAGAGAAAATCCCAGAACAATTTCAAAACAAAATACAAGAACAAAATGACAAAATAAATGAAAAATGAGAAATGACAGAAAATCTACAGACAGAAATCCAGAAGAATCATACTAAATTTTTAGAAACAGGTAACACTTTGAACAGGCAAAGGAGTAGAATTCAATCAATGGAAGACAAAATTAGTGAGATTGAAGACAAATACTTCAATATTTCTTTGGAAAGGGATTAGTCAGAAAAACAAATAACAAAATGAAGAAAGCCTAAGGTTCATGTGAGATACTATCAAAAGGAATATCCTATGTGTAATTGTAATTCCAGAACAGGAAGAGACAAATAAAACCAAAGAGAATATTGTTGAAGATTTGTTGGAAGATAATTTCCCTGGTATGATGAAAGATGAGAATGTATCCATTCAAGAAGTAAAATGAACCCCAAACAGGACCTCAAAAGAAAATCACCAACACATCATCATCAAACTTACCAAAACCAAAAACAAAGAAATAATTCTGAAAGCAGCATGAGAAAATGAAGTTACCTATAAGCGTTAACCAATAAGACTAAGCCCAGATTTCTTAGCAGAAACAATGAAGGCAAGAAGACAATGAGATGGTATATATAAAACCCTGAAAGAATACAATTTTCAACCAAGAATTATACTGTTATGTGCCGCTGAGTTGAACCCGACTCATAGTGACCCCTCCTTGGGTTTCCAAGGCAGTATCACAATGGAAGTAGATTGCCCCATCTTCCTTCTAAGGAGTGGCTGGTGGGTTTGAACCACCAGCCTTTTGGTTATATACCCACCAAAAAGGTTCCTCAAATATGATGGTGAAATTAGGACATTTCCAGATAAGCAGAAATTAAGGGAATTTGTTAAAAACCAGACCAACCTTACAAGAGATGCTAAAGGGAGTCCCCTGGACAGAGAACCAACAACAGCAAACAACTGACCATTAACACATAACCCAGAAAACTAACACAGTTATGGAAGTATCCAAAGTAAATAAGCCTACAAGATTGTAAACCAGAGACTCCAACCGACAAATAAGGACAACTACAAACCAAAAAGAGGAAAAAAAAACTGTAGTTACAGAACTTCTAAATGGTAGGGAAGTCAAGACAGAACGGACTGTTCAAAACTTAGGGAGAAAATTATCAATCACAGGGTAACCTCAAAGAAAAATGATAAATCTTCACAACAAAATAAAAGAGGGCCAGCAAAAATATTTAGCAATAAATATTAAAACAATAGCAACAAACGAAGTGGTAATACAATTCATAAACAAAATGAGCTTAGCACAGAAAATTATATGGAACAAAGAAATCAGCAACACCACAAAAATGCCCATAACAAAATGACAGCAACAAATTTATACTCGTCAATAATTACACTGAATGCCAATGGATTAAATGCACCACTCAAGAGACAGAGAGTTGCACACTGGGTAAGAAAACATAACCCATCAATATGCTGTCTACAAGAGACACACCTTAGAGAGAAAGACAAAAAAAGACTAAAAATCAAAGGATGGAAAATGATACATCAAGCAAATGGCAGCCATAAAAGAGTAGAAGAGGCAATAATAATTTCTGACAAAATTGACTTTAAGACAAAAACCACCATGAGAGATAAGGAAGAACATTATACAATGATTAAAGCATAGATTTAAAAAGATTATAACAACAATGAATATCTATGGACCCAATGAAATGGAACACATAAAGACTGATATCCTAGGCATTAGTGACCTGAAATGGACTGGTTTTGGCCATTTTGAATCAGATAACCATATGATCTACTATGCTGGGAATGATAAATTGAAGAGGAATGGCGTGACATTCAT